AAATTTTATTCCTTTTAATTAAGATTATATCTATGACATACAAATTAGATGATTGCATTTTTATTATTTCAGAATTCTTTTTAAGATGTTATTTTCCTCTTAAAATAAGAGTATCCTCTTAAATTAAGAGGAATAATTTTACTTAGAGGACAATCCTCTTAAACCTAGAGGACATCCTTTTTGCAGCATATACTAGAGGAAAATATGCATTGAAATAAGAGGAATTCTCTTGGAACAAGAGGATTTTTTTTCGGTGTAGGTTTTAATATAAATATAGGAAGTAAAATGAGAATTAGGATAAATAAAAATTAAGTCAAATAGAAATTAGATCAATAAAGATTGGGACATTTGAAATTTGAAAAAATTCATACTTATCGAATTAGTTTTAAACTTCCGATTCTTTTTTTTTATATTGAAAACTTTCTTTTCTAATTTCCGCTTCTACTTTACACGCATAACATTTTTATTTAATTATATTTTTCTTCTCTTGACTCTTCTTATAATTATTTTTGATCATTAGAATATATATATATATATTATAAACAGTCATTATAATAAGGATGTAAATTTTAATATAAGTCAAAAATAATTGTTCGAAGCAATATTGCACTTTCGTTTATAGTAGAAGAAGGAAATTTCAACAAGGAAATTCTTTTTTTTTTTTAAATAATAATAAATCGTTTAAAATTCTCATTTTCATATTAATTTACTGCCAATATAAAAAATTATAAATTTTACATTAAATTACTAATATATAAAAAAATAATCTATTCCATATTATTTATATTCTAGTTTTCTTTAATATACTATTATTATTATTATTATTATTATTATTATTATTATTATTATATAGGTGCAAAATTACATATATGGTGCTTTGCATGTGAACAAGGAAGCGTCAGTTGCATGTATTTAATTATAATTATGACAAGATAATCATAAGCAAGCACGAAGATCCTATCATCGAAAATAGGTGCTAATAATTTTCTTATTCAAATAAATATCAGCTTGACATTTTAAATTACATAATTTTAAGAAGCATTTGATTTTCTTAAAATGCTATATATAATATATGTTCTAAATAATTATTTCATCCTATTATAATATTATGGAATCGACATTTTTAACATTAAAAAAAAATTAAGAATAAAATTTTCTTCACTTTAAAAAAGAAACATGTTAAAAAAATAATTTCTAATTAACAAAAACTTTTCGTTTTTTTTTTACCAACAATTACAAAAAAAAAAAAAAAAAAAAAAATTTTCTGAATGCAAATTAAATACTCTCATATAAAATAAAACGGTTAATTCATATAAATCTTGATCGCTCGAGCATATTTTCGCCATTCATGAAAGCAAGTTTTATAAGATGAATCAGCTGATCCCGCAATGCTCTCATTTCTTTCCACTTCCTATCCTTCTTATTTTGGAATCTCTTTCAATCTTTTCTGTTTCCTTTTTTGCTGAGACAACACTGATGAAAAAAAAAAAAAAAATATTACGAAGTATAACTGGTTCGACGCTCTCCAAACTCGATCCATGTCGTCCGTTAGGTAATCTCCAAATTTCACTTTCAATCAGTTAAAACACATACCTATATGTATATATATATATATAAGTGGATTTTTTTTCACACACACACATATATATAAAACACACCCTCCCAATGAAATTTTCATCATAAAAAAATGCCAATTATAATAATTGGCTGAAAATATTGACTTTTACTACTTTTAATCAATCTTTATGTTCTTTACTTTCTGTCTATCTGTCCGTCTGTCTGTGGGTATAAAAATAATTTTCGAAGAAGAAGTTATTTATTCTTCTCCTTATTATTATTATTATTATTCTTATTGTTATTATTATTATTAATAATATTTATATTATTATTATTAACCAATATTATATTAATAATATAGGGTCAGTTGGAGTAAATGGGGACAAGAGGTTTTTGAGCTTAATTTACAGTTTAAAATTAAGTTCAACGTCAATATTTTAACCTCAGATCACCTGCAAGAGGTTTTTGAGTATTGCCAAGCTTTTATCTTGACAATTGGCAACAAGATAAAAAAAGTTATCGTTCAATGCGCATAAAAACTTGAAAATCAAAGTCAAACTGTTTCAGTATTTTGTCGAGCATTTCAAAGAAAACAGACTTAAAAATCATACAAAAATTTTTTCTTATTCCTTATGACTTCCATAACAGAAATTCACTTGAATTTTTGATTTTTGTCAATTTGGTTAATAATGACAAGCTGTCCCCATTTACCCTGAGTTTTCAAATTTTTGGGGTAAATGGGGACAGCTTGTGATTATTCACCAAATTAACAAAAATAAAAAATTCAAGTGAATTTATGTTATGGGAGTCATAAGGAATAAGAAAAAAATTTGGTATGATTTTTAAGTCTGTTTTCTTTGAAATACTCGACAAAATACTGAAATAAAAAAATTTCAATTGGTTCAACTATTATATATCTACTACAAATTTTTTTCAAATTTTTTCATCCCTCAATACAGTAATATACTTGAGGAAACTTTTTTCTTAAAACTTTCTTAGAAACTATGCTGTCCATATTTACCCCAATTTTTATGAAATTTTCTATATTTTGGGGTAAATGGTGACAGTCAGTTTCATGCGTTTAAATCTTATCTAAATTTTTTTCTGCTGCATAAAATTAATCCTGGGAATGTAAATAACAACTTAAAAATTAATAAACCCGCAAATATTACCTTTTAAAGGAAGAAACTTACGTAATTTGTAAAAAACAGCGATTTTGTCCCCATTTACCCCAACTGACCCTAATATTATTAATATTAAGTTATTAATTATTATCTCAACTTTGGCTTTATTGTTAATTCAGTTTAGTTTTCAAATTTGTGTTCAATTGAATTTTTAACCCAAATTTTTATATAACAGAAATTTTATTTTATAAAATTTCTCCTTATCCAATTTTTTTTAAAACAATCTTATTTAACCGAAATTTAATTTAGCAGAATTCTCATTTAATAAAATTTTAAGTGAATCGAATTTTTAAATACCAGAATTTTAAATTAACCGCAAATTGTCATTTGTAAAAAATTTTATTTGCACTATTTTGTTATTTATGATAGAAATTCTTAATACACCGAATTTTCATTTGACCGAACAAACATAACCTATATAAAAAGATTTTGTCACGATTTTTGAAATTCGACCAATCACAATATTTTCTTAATAATTTTTTAATGGTCGAATTTAAAAAATTACAACGAAAACTTTTTTTTGCATGTTATGTTATGAAATTAAAATTTGCAGTGAATTAGAAATTTTGGCATTGAAAAATATGATTTTCAATTCTTTAGAATGAAAATATTTTGCTAATTTAAAATACGATTAAATTTAAATTGTTTTAAAAGAAAAAGTTGGATAGAGAGGAATTATGTAAAATATGAAAATTGTAAAGTTAAATAAAAATTCGGTGCTTAAAAAGCTATAGTGAAAAGGAAAATTTAGATTAATTTCAGTTCAAAAAATGAAAATTCGGATAAAAGAAAATTTGTTCTATTTGAATTAGCCGTCAAGTGAAAATTCCAACTAATTATGAGTAAATAAAATTTATCAAAGCATAGCATTAATATTTCTTTAATTTAAACAAATTATTATTGTTATAGAAAATTATTATTATTGTTGATTCAGAAAATTTGTAAATACTTTATGATATGTGAAACTGTACCTAACCTCAAAAATAGTTCCTACATCGTCTGCTCTCTACGGTTCAAATGCGTGATTGGTCAAAAATGCGCGCGCTGATTTAAAAAATGTATAAATTAACCAATCACAGTATTCCGAGTAAAACTTCGAACTATATTCGGCATCTTTCGGAAAAGTTCGGGAATTCTGTGTTAGTATTTCGTATGGAGTATACTAATTTTCTATATTCTGTATTATAAACTTCAATACAGTTTTTACAAACTTCGATTTTAAATAATTTAAATTCAAATAATTAAGAATAATTTAAATAATTTAAAGTAAAATAAGTAAAAATAATTAAAATTAAAATTATTAAAAATAATTGTATTAATTTAAATTTAATAATTTTCTCTTTTTCCCTAAATTTAAACGGTACTGTATTAAATTGTCAAACAAAATGCCTCTCAGTGTGTATGTTATAAAATAAAATTCTCATTTACAACTATTAGTATCACTTATGAAATTCAGTTACAGATAATTTTGTAAGAGCAGTTATATATACAGTTGTTTCTCTTTCTTAGAAAAAAAAAATCAATTTTCCTTTCGCCATTGAAGAAAATTAATATATAAATATACTGTATTTAATTAAATTTACTGTCATCAACACTGATTTAAAATTCTATACATATATACAATATTGCAAAATTATCTTTATGGATATATATTTATTTATTATTGAAAATAAAAATAATTCTCGATAAGTCTTATGAAAATAATACTTGGTATAATAATAAATAATTCAAACTGTAATTCATAAATTATGCGAATTTCTATTTCTAATATAATGTTTTTTAAATTTATTACAAGTAAACTGTAAACAGTGGCATATTACATTTAAGTGGTATAATTTTTAACTTATGAAAGAAGCACCAAATTTTATACTTATAAATAACACTCCATAAAAAATAATATCTTTTCTTTCCTAGTTTTATCTTATATATATATATATATATATATATTGCTTACATTTTCACGAATCTATTAGAAGAAATAGGAAAAATTATTATTATTATTATACTTTAAAGACTATTTTATGTCGAGGAAAAATTAAAATTAATGTAAAAGATTATAATACAATAGCCAATAACTAACAATAATTATTACATAATAATAAAAATAATAATAATAATAATAATAATAATAATAATATATGCGACTTATTATTAAACCAAAAAAAAGAAATTTTAAACTATGAAAAATATTTTATTGACCCAGCAAAATTTTTGGTGTTTTTTAATTAATTGTGAAATATTTTCTTTTTTCTTTTGCAGAGAGCAATATCTATTTAATGTCTTCGAGGTAATTGTTTCAACTTTGGAGTCAAAACTTCAGAGGATTGAAAATTTGGATAAAGCAGTGGAACACTTGATGAGGAGGGTAGAGGCTCTCGATTCTCGAGTAAATGACAATATTGATAAAACCGATGCAGTGATAACAAAATTAAGGACACTTGACCTTAAACTATTTCACACTCAATCACTTCCAATCCCGGAAGTGGTCGCAGCATCCACAAGAAATGTTGAAAGCAGAAGTGGCACTGATGATTCTGAAGGTGAGTATTTTTTTTCTAAAAATATTATTAATGTATTATTATTATTATTACTCAAGGGAGAAAAATGACCTATTTCTACACTAGGGATTAAAGTAGCATTTTGTACCCTAGGGAACAAAACTGTTATTTTTAATACTGGAGAATTAAATAGAATTTTTTACACTAGGGAGTAAAGTAGTCTTTTTCTACTCTAGGGAACAAAATGTTTTTTAGCACTAGAGAGTTAAATAAAAAATTTTACACTAGGGAGTAAAGAAGCCTTTTGTACCCTAGGGAACAATATGTCCTTTTTAGCACTGGAGTTAAATAAAAAAATTTACTCTGGGAAGTAAAGTAGCTTTTTTCAACCCTAGGGAACAAAATATTATTTTTAACACTAAAAAGTGAAATTAAATGTTGTACACTAGGGAGTAAAGTTGGCTTTTGTACTTTAGGGAACAAAATGTCCTTTTTAGCACTGGAGTTAAATAAAAAAAATTTACTCTGGGGAGTAAAGCAGTCTTTTTCAACCCTAGGGAACAAAATGTTTTTTAGCACTAGAGAGTTAAATAAAAAATTTTATATTAGGGACTAAAGAAGCCTTTTGTACCCTAGGGAACAAAATGTCCTTTTTAGCACTGGAGTTAAATAAAAAAATTTACTCTAGGGAGTAAAGTAGCCTGTTTCAACCCTAGGAAACAAAATGTTTTTTTAACACTAGAGATTGAAATAGAATTTTTTTCACAAGGGATTAAAATAGCCTTTCTTACCCTATAGAACAACAGTTTTATTAATAGAGTAGTTTCTTTAAAACCCTTGAGTGTCAGATAATATTTTTCCACACTTGGGAGTAAATCAACCGTTTCCATTTCTAGGGAGTAAAATGACCTTTTTTAAATTCTTTTTTGTTAAAATTTAAACCTTTTTTAGCACCACGGAGCAAAATTGTTTTTTCTATCACTTTTTTTTCAATTCTAGTGTGCAAAATGATCATTTTCCAACACAAGAGAGAGAGAAATTCACATTTTTTACACTAGGGAAAAAACTAACTCTTTTTTATTAATCCCTAATAAAAGGCACATTTAATCGCAAAATTACAATTTTAAAACTAAAAAAATTCGTTCTTCTTTTTATGTTGAAAACAGTTCCGCTGATAAGATTGATACACAATGATGAACCATCATCGCCTGATACATTGGGTGAAAAATTAGTTTCACTCGATCAAAAAGTCTCGGATATTGACAATAAATTGGTGATATTGAAAAATCATTTGGACAATAATTTTTTGCCCACCGATGATATTAATGCCGAGGCAAGTGAAAAAAAACCAATAAGTATGAATGTTATTGAAATAATGAAGGCAATGAGTAACGAGGTCATGAATCATGTTACTATCGAAATTGAAAATCTTCGCCAAACAACTGGCAACATGGATCGGAAGCTGCAATTTCAAATGAATCTTGTCTCTGAAAATCTTGGCGCCGTTTACAATATGATGAAAGATGTTCATGAGGCAATTGTCGATAAGAATACACCATCAACAATTAATATCACCACAACGCAAGCGCCTCCCAAGCAAAGTAAAATTGACAGACTTGTTGAACAAATACATCCAATGTTAACGGTTTCTGAAAAAATGGACGAAGTCTGGAATGTTGTGGTGAGTCATCAATTTTTTACTAGATCGTTAAAAGAATTCAAAAAAACGTTACTTTTTTATTCAGTACCATTTACTGGGGTTATTATACAAAAAAAACGCTACTTTTTTATTCAGTACTTTACAAAAATTAAGAAATTAAATAAAAAAAATTTTAAATTCTTGTGTTACGTTGTGGACATCCGTCTGCATATATCCTGTAAGTTAGACGACAAAGAAAAATTTTTTAACAAAGTTTTAGAAATTTAAAGTGGTGAGTACATATATTAGCCCCAAACTCGGGGCTATTATACTCATCACTTTTTTAGTTTCTATAAATTGTTGGGGCTATTATACTCAGTAAACTTTGTTTATTTATAAAATATCCTCAACATTTTTTTATACAGCCTTAGCTACTTATATGAAATCTTTTCTACAGATTTTTTTTTTTTATTAAAAAAGTTAAATTTTTTTTTAAATTAACATTTTTTAGGTTAAGTAAACATCTCAATATAATTTCTAACAAGCTTTTCAAGTTATTTTAGAAGAAAAAATTACAAAATTAACTTGAAAAACATAAATTTTAAGGAAATTTACTTTTTTAAGGTTATGTTGTACCTTGTAAAATCTTATAATTTATATATTTATGGTTTTTTTACACAAAAGGATGTCAAAAATGTAAACAAAATATACACTTATTTACCATCTACAATTTTCAAAAAATAATTAATTTTAAGAAGTGAGTATAATTACCCAGAGAATTCTGGTTTTTTATTTTTTCGCACATTTCTCTTGAAATACTTGCAATATTTTGCGAAGTACAATAAAATTCTTCAAAATCCAGTATAAAGTTTGCGTATGTGCAAAAAAAAATTTTCAGACTTTCACGACTTTATGAATATTTTTCTGCGTTCTGATAAAAAATTAAGTAATAACATTTACCGCCCTCTGTAATAAAACTATCAAATAATATTTACACTTAGAGTTAAGTTTACACATTTCAATATAAATATTTTATTAATTAAAATCTTGAGCTGAGTATAATAGCCCCTTGGTGAGTAGAATAGCCCCAGATAATAGCGCAACAAAGAAAATATTAAGTTAAATTGTTTTTTTTAACTTACTTTTTTAAAAAATTATAATTCATAGTTTTCAATTTTTGTTCAGCAATTTTTTTTTCTTTTTTTTTATATTTCTATTTAATTGATTATTTTCAATTTTCAAATTATCAAACAATATTTACAACAAGCGTCAAGTTAAAATATTTCAATATAAATATTTTATTAATTAAAAACTGGTGCTGAGTATAATAGCCCCTGGGTGAGTAAAATAGCCCCGATTAACGGTATATTATTAAAATTCAGAATTAATAAATTCTTTTTTAACTTAATTTTTTTTAACAACCTTTTGAAAAGTTTCTATAAGTTAAGTGACAAAAAAATTAGTTTTTTTTTTGTTAAAGTTACAGAAACTTAAAGCCGTGAATATATTACCCCTGTAGTTAGGGTTATTATACCCATCAAAGTTTGTTTATTTAAAATAGCCTTAAAAAATTTTTTAATTGTTTTATCTATATGAAATCTTTTCTGTAGTTAATTTAGAATGCAGTAAAAAAGGAAAATAATAAAAAAAATTGTTTATAGAAATTGTTCAACAAATTTTTAAATTAACATTAAAATTTTATTAAATCTATATTTATTAAAGAGGTGAAACTTTTTTTTTTAAATTAACATTTTTTTTTACTTAAGTGAACAACTAAATATAACGTCTGATAAGCTTTCTAAGTCATTTAAAAAAAGAAAAACTTATAAAATTAACTTGAAAAACATATAAATTTATTAATGAAAGTTACATTTTTAAGGTTATGTTGCACCACTTGTAAATTTATAATTTTTAAATGGCAGAATTTCCAACATACCGTAACTTCTTTTTTCCAAATTTTTATATTCACCATTTGTTATTTATGATAGAATTTCTTAAAACGCCGAATTTTCATTTGACCGAAATTACAAAAATCACCGAACAAAAAGAATTTTGATGCGATTTTTAAATTTCGACTAGTTAAAAAATATTATGAAATTATTGTGATTGGTCGAATTTCAAAAATCACGCCAAAATCTTTTTGTGTAGGTTATGTTTATTCGGTCATTAGTAATTTCGGTCAAATAAAAATTCGTCGATTTAAAAATTTCTCTTATAAATGAAAAATAGTGGAAATAAAAATTCTGACAAATGAAAATTCGCAGTGTATTGGAAATTCTTGTATTTAAAAATTCAATTCCCTTAAAATTCTATTGAATGAGAATTTTACTAAATTAAACTTCGATTAAATATAAGGTAAATGTGGGTATTACCGCGATTTTGATGAATACCAGAGTTTGAAAAAAAAAATATAAACATATTTTACAAGATATTCGTGTAATTTTTTTTTTTTAAATTGATCATTGAGTATACTTTGTGTTAATAAAAAATTAATAATGTCATATAAGGTATACTTTATTAAATAAAAGACATTTTAAAAATAAATGCAAGTGGATACATTACCGCGATGCCAAAACCTTTATGACCCAAATGTCGTGTGCCAAATGCCGCGATGGTTTTTGTATAAATATCTTTTTTTGATCTAGAATTTACTGCTTTCTTTGGCCTTCTTTTGGTATTTCACATATTTTTGTTACTTATATTTAAATTATATTAAAAACTTAAAACTTTTTATATTTTTGTTATGATGACAGTGAGTAATCAGGTTATGTTTCGACAATTTATAGGTTAGGTGTACATGCGCATGTTTGCATGAGAAAGAAGTCGCGGAATTTGAGGCGCCTTTTAAAAACTTGTGCATATTACCGTATTACAAATATAAAAAGGAAAAAAAAGTCGGATCTTTATTAGCTAAGGTGTTTTAATAAAAAAAAAAAAGTTACTTTATCGATTAAAAAAAGAATAACAAAATTTGGAGCATAAATATCAGTATAAAAGACGTTTTTTGGACAACCTTTTTGTCACAATGCGATGAGAATTTTACCAAATTTGCTGCTTTAACGAGATTTAACAATTTGTAAAAACTTAATGATACATTAAATAACTAATATATTATTTTTATTTGATACTTATAATATTAAATTAACAATATAAATTTTTTCACTGAATGAATCGGAACGTAATTGTGAAATTTTATAGAAAAAAGCGAAATCACGGTAATTCATTCAATCACGGTAATACCCACATTTACCCTATTTATTAGTTGAAAATTTTTTTAGTTAATTTGACATAACCTAAAAGTGAATGTAACTGATAATTATTTATTTACAATTAATATTAATTTAAAAAGAGAACATAATTGACTCAAAAGTAATTATAATAACACTTTATTATCTAATCAATAAAATTTTATTACAATATACAAATTTAAAATTAATTACAATCACTGTCTTCTATTTAATTATTATTATATTAAAGCTAAAACTATGATATACGTAAAAAAAAATATTAATAGCTTTTGAAAAGCAATTTACCCGCTTATTGAAGTTCATATAATTTTATATATATATATATTTATATGTAGGTTGTAAACAATGTGTAAATGAAAAGTTATGATAAGAATCTAATTAATAGAAAAAGAAATATTAAATCCTCGATATCTATATAGGTGTATAATGATATCACTTTTACAAGCATGATGAGGTAAGAATGGGTCATTATCCTACTCGACATCTCGAGACTGGAAGTGCCTATAAGTTTGTAATAACCGATACTTTTTTCCTTTTCTGTTTTTTTTATTATTTTCTTCTTTTTCTCGTTTCCTCGTAATCGAGCAGTAAATGCAGATTTATTTCAGGGCCAAGTGACGGTTCGAGAATGTCTAACTCTAGATTGCTCAATCGACACCTTTTGTGTTGCATGTTAATCACTTTTAATGATTTACGTTTACCTTTTATCGACGATTAAACTCCTTCAGCAGCAGCATTTCACTTATTCTATAACAATTTTTTTTTCAATTTATACTAAAAGTATTGTGCACGCTTTTAAAAAATTATATAATGTTTTTACATTTTTTAATTGTATTAAATTGTTCTTTTTGAAAATATTAATTTTTATTTTTTTTGAAGGTCGGAACAAAGAGTTCAGTGGACCACCTGGTACCAAAATCAGATGAGCTTTTGACACAAACACAACGTCAGGAGAGAGCAATCAGTGAAATTCACGCTGATCTGAGATCAAAAACAAATAAGATTATCCAAAATCTCGAGGGCGTTGAGAGTAGACTTAAGAAACAGGAGGATGACGTTGCTACTTTAGCACAACGACCGATTCCTGCTGAATTATTACTTGATCCCACAATTGATCGACTTGTTGAATACGATCCAAGCAGGTTAGTGTAATATATCTATTTTTTATTTAAAAAAAAAAAATTTTCTTTCACTTTTATTTATTGGAATTCACACATAATATCTAGGGGTTGATTCCACGTGAAATTTACACCCAAAGAAAGGTTTTATTTAAAATAAATATAATATATTTGAATTAAATAAACGTATATTTGTCTCAGAGGCTAATAACTTTTTTATTTGTTGTAAATAGATTTTATTTGCAACAAATAAATATTTATTTGAAATAAATAAAAATTTATTTGGCTCTGAGACAAATATATGGGTGATTCTCCGTAAAGTGGGTAATTTCATGTCTTTGAATTATATCTTCTAAACATCTTAACATTTAATTATCAACATTGAACGAAAATATTGTTTAAACATCCTTTAACTATTATACCTTATAAAATACTATATTTTTGTACATAAATTTTGTGTAAAACAATATTTAATAGGTGGAAAACAGCAATTCAGTATGTCCTAACCTCTGAGTACCAAACTTTAAAATGCTATAACTCATAAAAACCGTACTATCTTTAATTATTTAATTAATATTCTTAAAGTTTAACTCAAAAGGTTTAATTTTTATAAATATACAATTTTTCATTACATCAATTTAATTACTGATAATTATTGGAATAAAAGTGTCTTTGAAAATCTTCATTCTAGCACGACAAAGGATAAACGTGTATAAATATATTACAAGACTTGCACTTTTTGCCTCAAAATTATATTGAAATCGAAAATAAAACATGTCACTTCTCAAATCCTGAAGAGAAATTAGAAAATGAATTTTCTCTTATTTTCAAATTAAATCACTAAAAAAGCACTGCGTATTTTTAATAATTCCTTTGTCATGCCATGTCAGACCTTCCGTATTTCAATATATATATTAATAAAAAACCGATGAAAACTTAAAGCTTAATACGATAAAACTTTATGCCAAGCCATTTTTTATTTGCTATTGTTTAAAAAGTGTACAAATGGATTTTGTAAAAAATTTCCTTTGTCGTGCGAAGACATTTTCATGCAGTAGGTGTGAAGCAAGCAAAAAATGTACCCGTGCCTAAAAATTTACTTAAAACAAGTAATAAACTTTAAATTTTTCCACGGTTTATACATTTAATTAATTACAATTTAAAATACAATAAATATAAACCAGTTAACTTATAATTTAAAATGTATAGTAAAAGATATAAATTTCAGTGCCCCTCGTTGATACACCCTTGAATTGTGATTGAGGTTAGTTTTCTCGTTTATTTTTTACATGTCATTTCTGCTCTTTATTTTATTCCATTTTATAGAATAAGTTGTTACTGGTCTTAGAACTAATTTGATAATTAAAACTTTTTATAATATATTAGAAATATATTATACAGAATATAATGAAAAATACATTCAGAGAATGAATAAAATAGTTTAAAATTTCGAATTTTCAAAGTTATTTACATTTTCCTCAAGTTTTTGATTTTTTTTATTGTTTAAGTTTTTCAAATTTATTTATAAAAAATGTACAAACTGTGGTTAATTGTAAACAATCTTATTATTCCTAATCTGAGCCATTTTAAAAAAAAATTTCCATTTTTTTTCCTTCATTCATGAAGAACTGCAAAATAACACTAATATAAAAAATGCGTTTTATTAAAAGTCTCCCCCAATGCCTTTAAATTAATTTTGTAGCTTAATCACTTGACATATAACTTGTTTTTATCCCAATAAATAGAAATTAATAAAAAAATCGAATTTCTAATCATTTTTTAAAAAAAATTTTTAAGTCCTCGAAAGTGACCGGTTTTTGGAGAATCACCCATATCTTTTCTCCGGGTGTACCTATGACCTTTTAAATACGAATTAATATTTTTTTTTTAATATTTACATAAGTTTGCAATAATATTAAAAAAAATTAAACAGTTAGGAAAAATAAAGTAGTGAAGAAAGATAAAAAAAAATTTGTTAGAAAAATGAAAGAAAGTTGATAAAAGTCAAAAGAAAAGTTGTTGAAGAAATATGAAATTGCTGAAGAAAGATAAAAATATTAAAAATAAAATATTACTAATATTACTAATTTAATAAGTTGGAATAGTGAAGAAAGATGAAAAAAAATTTAAATAGAAAATTTTAAAAGTTGGAAAAAAGTTTATAAAGAAAAAAAATTAAAACATTTAAAGAATGTTAAAATTAACTGGAGATAATTTTAAAAAAATTTTTTAAAAAATTAACAATATTGAAGTGGTGAAGAAAGACCTTGAAAAATCCTAGATTTTTACAAAATTCATAACTCAAGAATTTGAGCACTTAAAAAAAATACGTATATCATATTTTTCTTTAAAGAACGAAAAAAAAAATATTTTTATCCATATTTAAAAGTATCACGTGAAATCGCCCATATATACACTTGACCTACGACAACATTTCGCTATTAGGAAAACTATAAGCAATTAATGATTAGAAATTAAAAGTCCATTGCCAATAAAGTGTAAAACGAACACCAATCAAGGTAAAATGTTTATTAAATGCTAATTAAGTTTTGCTAATTATTGCCAACTAGTGATCTTGTTTTTTTTATGGCAATTGACCTATTACGCTCAGTTGGGCATTAATCAAATTAAGTAGAAATTTCTTTTTTCAATGACGATCAAAAGTGATTACTTTCACAGTCAACACCATGAAGCCACTGACTGTTTTTTTTTTCTTTTTTTCTTTTTCATAAATAGACACAATCTTTCCTTTTATTGAAGGGGGATATATAGAGAGAAACCTGAAAGCGAAAGGAACTGTTCTGCTTCCTCAAGACGAGATTCTTGAGTAGTTTTTTTTTCTCGTCTTCAAATGCGAGAAAATTGTTCAATTTTTTTTGGCCTTTCATTTTCTTTTCTTTGTTTTCTTTTTTGTCTTTCTTCAATAGTTTTACATTTTTTTTTCCTTTATTTTTAAAATTAAATTTTTTTTTAGAGTAATTTTGTAAGGTTTTTGTTTGGAAGTGATTTTTTCATATCTTCAATTTACTTTCTTCAACGTTGGAAAAAGTTAAGAAAGAAAGTAAATTCTTTTTTTAAATTAATCTTTCGATGTTTCTTTTTTTTTTGTTTTATTCAAATTTTCGTACAAAGTTTTCTCATCTTTCTTCATCAATTCAATATTCTTAATTTCTGAAAATATTTTTTTTTCGCCATTGACATGAAAAAGTGTCTTTTTTGTGCCTGTTTTGGGCAGATAAAGTAGCACTTTTTAAGGCAGTTTGGGCCAACTGCCTAAAAAAGTGCTACTTTATCTGCCCAAAACAGGCATCACTTTTTTTTAGTTATCTTCAATTTAACAATTTTTTTTGGGTGATATTTTTATTATTTTTGAATTTTTCCTTCTTTTTTTTTGCAGGTATGTTGGATTGAATGAAGAGTTCTCAACGGAAAATCCAACAACTCCGACAACAGTAACGACATCGACATCTTCAATACCAACAGCCTCATCGACTTCGTCGGTAGCTTCACCATCAAATACTCCATCGGCAACAACACCAATGACCTCAACGTCCTCAAGTTCTCAAAGATCAACAACGAGGAATCGAGGAGTCATTTTCCCAAGTGTTAAAAATAAACCCATTCCTGTCAATTCTACATTTACAACCGATATTGTTGTTAACATCAAGGACGTCAAGGTAAGTTGTCAAAAAAAAAAAATTTATATTCTCATAATAATTGAAGATAAAAAATTCATTTTGTTAAATTATAATCATTTTTTGTTTGAAAATTTAATATAGTACCGTTTAAATTTAGGGAAAAAGAGGAATTTATTAAATTTAAATTATTTAAATTTATTGAAGTTTATAATACAGAATACAGAAAATTAGTATGCTCCATACAAAATATTAACACAGAATCCCCGAACTTTTCCGAAAGATGCCGAATATAGTTCGGAGTTTTACTCGGAATACTGTGATTGATTGATTTATACGTTTTTTAAATCAGCGCGCGCATTTTTGACCAATCACGCATTTGAACCGTAGAGAGCAGACGATGTAGGAACTATTTTTGAGGTTAGGTACAGTTTCACATATCATAAGGAATTTACAAATTTTCTGAATCAACAATAATAATAATTTTCTATAACAATAATAATTTGTTTAAATTAAAGAAATATTAATGCTATGCTTTGATAATTTTTATTTACTCATAATTAGTTGGAATTTTCACTTGACGGCTAAATGAAATAGATCAAATTTTCTTTTAGCCGAATTTTTATTTTTTGAATTTAAATTAACCTAAATTTTCCTTTTCACTAGCTTTTCAAGCACCGAATTTTTATTTAACTTTACAATTTCCATGTTTTACATAATTTCTCTCTATTCAACTTTTTATTTAAAACAATTCAAAATTTAACTGTATTTTAATATTTAGCAAAATATTCTCATTCAAAAAACTTGTAAATCATAATTTTTTCAATGACAGAATTTCCAATTTACTGCAAATTTTAATTTTACGGAATTACTATTTGCGCCATTTGTTATTTATGATAGAAATTCTTAAAATTCCGAATTTTCATTTGTCCGAAATTACAAATGACCGAATAAACATAACCTACAAACAAGATTTCGGCGCGATTCAACCATCAAAAAATTATTAAGAAAATATTGTGATTGATTGAATTTCAAAAATCGCGCCGTAAACTTTTTTTTACAGGTTAAGTTTGTTTGGTCCTTTTCAATTTCGGTCAAATGAAAATTTGGCGTTTTTAGAATTTCTATCATTAATAATAACAAATGATGCAAATAAAAAATTCTGTCAAATGACAATTTGCGGTTAATTGAAAATTCTGGTATTTAAAAATTCGATTCACTTAAAATTTTCGGAAATAAAAATTTTGTTAATTTAAAATTCGATTAAATAAGAATGCTTTTAAATAAAAAAAAAAATGGCTAAAAACAAATTTTGTAAACGAAAAATTCTGTTGAATGAAAATTTTTTTTAATTGAAAGTTCCGTTGAATAAAAATTTAGCTTAATTTAAATTCAATTGAACACAAATTTGAAAAATGAAAATCAGGCTAAAGGACAATTTTAATCTATTTAAGAATTTTTGTCAAATAAAAATTCTAAGCATATAAAATTAATTTTGTGGTACATTTGTGCGTCGAGGAAAAAAATATTTTTTAATATTCAGGAACTTGATTTAGTTCCGGTTCCAGTTTATAACTTGTTATTGCACTGACGAAATCAACTCAATATATATATATATATATATATATATATATATATATATATATATATACGTATGCAATATATTAGCCAATTCCAGTTCTGACTCTCTCTCTATCTCTCTCACTATTTATAATAGTCGATTGGCTGGTTTCGGGTACTTAGATTAAAATGCATGTTTCTTGGTCTCAGAATAACAGGGCATGGGAATTTGTGATTGCAACATTTTCTATATAGAGAAATTGGTTATGTTCGATTATATTTTGTACAGTTATATATACATAGTCCTAGCCAATAACGGCATTGAGAAGACAATGTGGATTTAACGGAACGTGTCTCGTTATATTTTGATCTAAATATCAAAGTTATATTCAAATACAATATTGAAAAATTGTGAAAATATTTGTACTCTCTAAATCTAAATTAGTAAAAATGTTTACTAATTTGAATTAGTGACTCACTTTTTGCTTCTAAATTAGTAAAATTTTACTAATTATTACTAAGTTTTACTAACAATTAGTAAAATTTAATTATGTAATTCTAAAGCAAAAAGTGAGTCACTAATTTAAATTAGTAAACATTTTTACTAATTCAGATTTAGAGAGTAATGAAAAAAAGAAAAATGAGATTTTTAATACAAATATTTTCTTATTTCTTCATATATATATGGTCAATTCTACGTTCAATTTATAGTCAACTTTTTTAATTTAGCTAAATATGTGCATCTTTTTTTTTTGTTCTTTACAGAAAAAAAAGTATTCCCATTTTTTTTATATACACTGAAAAAAAAAATTTATTTAATTCAAATACTTGATTACTTGACTATTATCGAATAAATATTTATATACTTAAACCAAATAATTTTTATTTGAATTAAATAAATTGTATTGGAACCAATGATTTTTGTATTTGAAACAAATATCATTTAATTGACTCCAATAATAATTATTTGATACAAATAAATATTTATTTGATAATAATCAAGTAACTGATTATTATTTGAATCAAATAATTTTTTTTTTCAGTGTAAAGAAAAGCTTTTATCAAAATAAAGGTCGACTATAAAATTTGACATTGAAATTCCCACATATAAAAATACAAATTATTTTTCCTAATAATAATTTATTCCAATGAAAAATTGTTTTAAGCATTTCTCTTATAAAATTCCACATTATAATTCTCTGTGAAAAAATCAATTTATCTTAATTATATGTTAAGAAATAAATTAGAAGCTTAAGTATAAAATTGATGATCATTAAGAGAAATATATGTATATTCAATTTCTCTCGATAAAAGGTTATAAAGAAATTTTTTTTGAATACTTCATATATATATATATATATATATATATATATATATATATATGTAATGAAAATAATTTAATATTTATCTTTCACTTTTTAAAAATTGAAAATGAAAAAAAAACGGGACAAAAAAATGAATTTCTGTAAATAGTTTCATATTAATAAGTTTCAAAACTATTTAAGTTAAAATATTTGTATAAATATTCAACTAAACTTTCGATTAAAAAAAAAAATCGTGTCTTTCACCCAAAAAAATTCGAATTTATTTATTTATTTATTTTCACTTCAACGAGTCAAAAGCCACAATTTTTGAGTTTAGAAACTGATATTATTAAAAAAAATTTTATTTGGGACGCATAAATATGTTCTAAAAATCATTAGTTAGAATTTTCATTTTATAGAATTTCATTTGTTATAATTATTTTTGAGCCAAATTTTTATTTATTCGAATTAGTATTTTGCAGAATTTTCATCAAAACGATTTTTTATATTACAGGATTTTTATATAACCGAAAATTCACTTCATAGAATTTTTATTTGTTCGAATTTTTATTTGTCACAATTTTTATTTGCTCGAATTTTCATTTAATATAACACAGAAAAAAACTGAGTTCATTTTTGTTGCAGTTCATTCTGAATTCGGTATCATAATGAACAACAACTAACTTCAAGTTACTCAAAATGAACCGGACCCGGATCAAATGTCAGGTTATGTTAGTTTCTGTTGAAATTCAAGATTTTAAGATTATTATGTTGGCAACAACTGCAACTTATGTATGCAGCGCCACACTGGCACAATGTTCAAATTGAAATAGTAGAAATATTTTTTACTTTAATTTAACAATAAATTTGAATAATTATAGTTAATGTATAATATAAATATAATAATTGTAAAATATACAAGAATTACAATTAAAAAAATGGTATGGGATAAATTTATTAAAATAAGTTTAAATAAAAATTTATATATATATATATATATATATATATTACATTAATTATATTAATATTTATTTAATATTAATAATATTAATCTTATATGAGAGATAATAATATTTTACAATTATATAGGGTCAATCCATTATATTTCGACTGAAGTCGTCGCTGACTAATTTTTAAAAATTATAATACTTTGCAGGAATGATTTTGAAGTTATCAAGATCACGAAATGAAAAGAATTTTATTAAAATTTTAATTATTTATTGCAAAATATGAATTTAAAGTTTATGAGGTGCTGAAAACTGTCAATTTTTTAGCCATTAGAAAATATGCAAAAAAAACAGAATTTACCATAAAAATAAAAAAAAACTTGTTGTAATTTACTAAGAATGAATAAATTTCTCATTATCAATTGATATAATTATTTAAATATGTGAAATAATATATAAAATATGATTTTTCAAGTTCGCCTGTCAAATAACCTAAATTTGCAAATTTCATCTATTAAATGTGAGAAAGAGAAGTCATTAAATTGAAAAAAACCTTACCAAATATAAAGTACCTGTGACTAACTTTTAGTTTTTCTTAGCACTTTTTTCCTTTTTTCTTCATAAATGTGAAATAAAAAGCAATAAAAATTGGCACTTTGCTTATTTTCACTATTTTCAAATGTAAATAACTTTCTTGGAGAAAACTGAAAAATTACAAAACTTGGGCAATATCTAATTGATCACTAACTACACACACTGGAAAAAAATTCGCTTTGGTCCCGAAGATACTTTTTGAGATAATTATGTTTAAATTTTTCACAATTTTTATCAGGTTAATGCATGTGATTTTTATAAAATTGAAGTTAGTTCAAAATGTTTAACCAATAAAACCTAACTTCGTCCTTAAAAAACTACATGTATTAACCTGATAAAAATTGTGAAAAATTTAAACACAATTATCTCAAAAAGTATCTTCGGGACCAGAGCGAATTTTTTTCCAGTGTGTGTAGTTAGTGATCAATTAGATATTGCCCAAGTTTTGTAATTTTTCAGTTTTCTCCAAGAAAGTTATTTACATTTGAAAATAGTGAAAATAAGCAAAGTGCCAATTTTTTATTGCTTTTTATTTCACATTCATGAAGAAAAAAGGAAAAAAGTGCTAAGAAAAACTGAAAGTTAGTCACAGGTACTTTATATTTGGTAAGGTTTTTTTCAATTTAATGACTTCTCT